CTGCCACAAATTCTCCCAGCTGTGAGCCTTCCAACCTTCTAAGTATTCCTTTATATGTGGTTCAGAGTTCTGGGACCATCCCCTGAGCCTGCTTGGTCGAGTATTCTGTGTTGTTGTTGGCGGAGCTCTCTGCTACACGTCCACCCAATCCGCCATCTTGTTTGTTCTCCCTTTCTTGCCTTCTTAATGACCTTTTCTTTCTTCCAGCCTTTGCAGTTCTATCATCAGTAATTAGAAATACATGTTGATTGCATGTTTGATCAATGTCAGTCTGAAGAAGTTAATAGAATTCTTCAATTGAATCATCACTAGCTTTAGTGCTTGATGTGTAAATTTGAATGATAGTATTGTTAACTGGCCTTACTTTTAGGCATATGGATATGATCCTATCACAGATAGCATTTTACTTCAAGACAGATCTTGTTATGCTCTTTTTGATGATGAATGTGATGCCATTCCTCTTCAATTTATTATTCCTGGCATAGTAAATCATGTGACTGTCAAATCAAAATACTAATATCAGTCTACTTCAGCTCAGTAATGCCTAAGACATCGAAGTTTATGCATTCCATTCCATTATTGATAATTTCCAATATTCCTAGATTCATGCTTGGTACGTTCCATGCTCTGTTTAATAATGATATGTATAGCAGTTTCTCATCCTTTTGAGTTGTGTCCCATCAGCAAATGATGGTCCCCAAGGTTTTACTCCATTCGTGTCATCAAGGTTAACTAACTTTTGCGGAAGCAGCTCTTCTCCAATAATATTTTGAGTGTCTTCCAATCTGAGAGGCTCATCTTCTGATATTATGCCTGACAATATTCTGGGGCATATTCTGACATTGTTCATCATGTTTTTGATAACCAGTATTCTGGTGATGATAGTGTTCCACCATATTCATAAGGTTTTCAGTGGCTTCGTATTCTGACGTAGGCTGTCACCCCTTCTTCTATTCTGTCTTCCTCTGGCAACTGAGCTGAAACCTGTCCACCATGGATGACTCTTCTGGTATTTAAAATAACCTTGGCATAGCTTCCAGAATCACAGCAACATGCAAGCTAGCACAGTATAACCAACTGACAGAAGAGTGGCAATCATACCTTTGTCCTAAGACTGGATTATTTACTTCCCCTCCTCCCCCAAATTTAATTAATTAATTATTTATTTTAGGTGAAAGTTCACACAGTGAGTTTCCCATTTAACAATTTTTCTACAGATTGTTCTGTGACACTGATTACAGTTTTCACAATGTGTCATCATTCTCCTTATGTCCTTTCTATTTCAACTTTCCTAGCTTCTCTTCTCCTTGACTTCATTGTGTTTCTTTCAAGTTGTTTGATCACTTAAAGTAGTGTGTTAAAGTTTCCTACTATTATTATAGAACTCTTCATTTCTCCTCTCCATGCTATTGTTGTTTGTGTTTTGTACCTTAGACTTATGTCATTGGGTGCACAGGTGTTTATTATGTGTATGTCTTCTTAGTTGACTGACCTTTTAATACTCATCTTTGTCTCTCATAATGGATTTTGATTTAAAGTCTATTTTATCAGAGATTATTAGTGACATTCGTGCTCTCATTAAGTTACGTATTTATGTCTATGTGACTAAGGTATGATTCTTCTAGTCAACATATTGATAGAGTTAAGTTTTTGATTGTTTTTAGTCTATTCTGCCACAATCTATCACAAACTGGTGAATTTAAACCATGTATTTTCATTGTGATTATCAATATATACACACATATATATTGATAATCTTGGTTTGGCACTGTGGGTTAATGCACTGGACTGCAAATTTGGTTTGAACCATAAAGTCAATGGTTCAAGTTCACCAGCTGTTCCCTGGAAACCCTGTACAGGGCTGCTATGAGTCAGAACCAACTCAAGGACACTTAACAACAGCAACATACGTTTATTACTACGGTCATCTTGTTATGCTTTTTATGTTAAAAGTTTCTTTGCTTTACTTAATTTTCTGTGCTGTATTCTTTTTGTTTATGAGTTTTCTTTGCATATACTTCATTATTGAAGATTTTGTGTTTATTGATTATTTTTCTTTTCTTAATTGCTTATTTTGTTGATTATACTGAATGCTAATTTTCATTAAGGTAATTCTGAAATTTACTTTTATTTCCCTCAATTTAAAATAGTCTGTTATATCTGAATGTTGCCATGACTTTTTCTCCATAGGAAACATTTTGTTTTGAATTTCTTATTGTTGATAGCTTAGTAACACTGACTGTTTTCAGTTTTGTTTTACTTTGAGAGTTTTTTTTTTTTTTTTATCTGATCTTAGATTGTTTTCTATGTTGTTGGTTCTTGATTTGATTGATTCTAGTTATTATCTCTTACATCTTGAATCTTATGATTCTTGCCTGAGAAGTCTTCTCATTGAGGGTTTGGTATATGTCATCCCTGTCTTTTTGCCTGCATGGTTTCTGCCAAGAAATCAGTACTTAATGCTGGTGGTGCCCCTTTGTAATTGATATTTCATTTTTCATGAGCTGCTCTCAGAATTCCGTCTTTGTCTTGGATTATGATATATCTTGATGTCATAAAGTAAAGTTAGATTATGATACATTTTCATGACTTCCTTCTGAAATCTTCCCTGATATAAGCCTCTTATATGGAAATCTTCTCATTTTACATGATATTATAGAAGTATTCTGTCAATAAAGTTTCAGAAATCCTCTCTATGCCTTTCTCTCTCCTCTTAAAATTATGTGCAAATTTCCTATAGTCTCATGATTTTTAAATTTTATAACTACAGTTGAGATTCCTTTTATTTTAAGTCAAAGAGGGGATTAGACTTGAAGCAAATAAAATTGTATCCTCTGAGCTTTAAATGTTAATATGACAAAAATTATAGTCCATTTAAATGAACGTTATTAAACATCAGAAAAGTCATTGAAATACAGTGGTTTTATTAAATGTGAAAGAGCCATAAAACCACTGCTAGCGAGTCAATTACGGCTCTGAGCCACCCTCCAGAACAGAACAGAAGGGCTCCCAAGGGCTTCTGAGATGGTAAATCTTTACAGGAGCAGAAAGCTTCATCTTTCTCCTGAAGAGCAGCTAGTGAGTTTGAAACACCAGAAATGTAGTTATAGTACATTCATTACTTAACCCACTGCACCAACAGGGCACCCAAACCATTATGTATATGTTGGAGTAGTACCACACCAGGATTAGATAGCTTGATAGATTGGATTCTTTTAATGAAATCCAGGAATTAGAGCATAGGCTTCTCAGCTTGTTGAAGAGATTAGGGCCTGACTCTGATGAGATGAATGCACTGCACAGAATTGAGTGGTGTCTAGAATGGAGGGTTGCCCAGGGACTTGTTCCCTACCTGGCCTCACATACCCTCTATGTCTTCAGGAAAATGGTGTTATGTTCATTGAGGGCCAGAAACCAAGTCCTGCTCAACTATGGAGTTGTGACCACCATCACCCATACAGTGCTGGACCCAGCTGAATGTTGCTCCTTTCTAATTGTAACCAAGATTGTACCATCTTCAAACATTTCAGGAAAAATTGCTAAGCAGCAAAATAAAAAAGGTGTGCATGGATAAATTTCTGATCAATTTTTCACTGATCTAGATCCAGTCATGTACTAAAAGGAGTAGCTCAGCTCATTAGGAGTAGAAAAAGAATACCGGAAAAATAGTTGTGTTCAGTATTTATTATCTTCCCCATAGACTTGTGTCAATCAAACTACATCTATCTGAACAGTGAAGCAGAAGGACACCAAAAACCCATTGCTGCTGAATTGATTCCAATCCATAATGACCGTAGAGGATCAAGGAGAAATGTCCCATATGGTTCCCCAGGCTGCACATTTTTATATCATGGAATGACTGTGGGTTTGATGTTGCAACCTTTTGGCTAGCAGTCAGTCACTGAATCACTGTGCCACAACTGTCCCTGAGACAGGAGGAGGTTATTGCTCTTAAGTGTTGTGGCATCAGATCTGACTCATAGCGACCCTGTACACTGCACACCAGTGTTTCCGAGGAGCAGCAAGTGAGTTTGAACCACCAACTGTGTGGTTCACAGTCCATCCTGATCCTACAGTGCCACACCAAGAGACGGAGGCAGGAGGATACAAGGATCTATGACCATAGAGGAGAAACTCTACTCTCTGACTGAGTCTGTAACTTTCTGACTTGACCTTCTAAGGATGATTGCTCAAGTGCAGAGAAGCAGATCTGCAGCTGGAAGCCAAGTTTGCCTGTCTCCACTGTTTTGCATGTTTCTTCCAGCCCACTTTGCCCTCCCAAGAGCATATCCAGAGCCCATTGCTGGATCTGCCTCAGTTAGAACACAGAGTGAACCATGGAAACCCCAGCTCAGATTGTCTGTCTGCTTTTACTCTGGCCCCCAGGTGAGAGAAACAAGGGATGTTCTCAGTGTTGCTAAGTCCTGGGATCTTTGCTCAGCAAGCACAAAACTTAACAAATATCTTAGATGTGTTGGGGGTACTGTGTAATATGATTTAGTTCACATAGGTAGGTGACTTTGTGTTTTCTTTCTAACTTCAGATGCCATGGGAGACATTGTGATGACGCAGTCCCCAGCTTCCCTCTCTCTGTCTCCTGGTGAAAGAGCCACCTTCACCTGCAAATCCAGTCAGAATGTTTATAGTAACTTAGCCTGGTATCAGCAGAAACCTGGGCAGGCTCCCAGGCTCCTCATCTATGATGCATCCACTAGGGCCAATGGCATCCCAGACCGATTCAGTGGGAGTGGATCTGGGACAGACTACACCCTCACTATCAACAGCTTGGAAGCTGATGATTTTGCAGTTTATACCTGTCAGCAGTATAGTAACGGGTAACCCACTGTGATTTAACAGTCAAGAAGACCACAAGCATTTTTCCTTATACCAGTTGCTTCTTTTAGAGACAGCTGCCATGGTGGTGCTCAGTTTTAGTATTGCTATTAAATACTAAAACAATTTAGAAAGTTTGAGGTTTTGCAAAGCAACTTCCTGAAAACTGAAATTCTTATTTTTTCTCAGAGTTAGTTTAACAGAAAGGTCCAGAAACAATTCTACTAGCTTTGTCATTAGCTATATAATGCTTACTGATGAAGATGAAAGACCACACCCTTCAGTATGGATTGCATCTCAATGTAGAGAAAACAAAAATCCTCACCACTGGACCAATAAACAACATTCTTATCAATGGAGAAAAGATTGAAGTTGTCAAGGACTTCATTCTTGGATAAACCATCAACACTCACGGAACCAGAAGTCAAAAAATCAAATGACATATTAGTCAAATCTACTGCACAAGACCGTTTTAAAGTGTTGAAGAGCTAAAATGTCAGCTTGAGGACTAAGGTATGCCTTACCCAAGGCTTGGTGTTTTCAATAACCTCATATACGTGTGAAAGATGCACATTGAATAAGGAAGATCATAGAAGAATTGATGCTTTTGAGTTATGGTGGTGGAAGAGAATATTGAAAGTGCCATGGGCTGCCAAAAGAACCAACAGATCTGTGTTGGAAGAAGTGCAGTCAGAGTGCTCCTTGGAGGCCAGGATGGCCAAACTTCATCTCTCATACTTTAAACATATTTTCAGGAGGGACCAGTCACTGGAGAAGGATATCATGTTTGTTAAGGTGGAGGGTCAGAGAAAAAGAGGAAGACCTTCAATGAGATGGATTGGTAGTATGGCAGCATCATTGGGCTCAAGTGTGGCAACAATTGTGAGGTTGGCATAGGACTGGGCAGTGTTTGTTCTGTTGTGTATAAGGTCGATGTGAGTTGTTCCTGACTAGATGGCACCTAACAACAGCAATATTCTCACATGAGCGAACTTCTCTACAAGCATAACTGTTGTAGTCAGTGCAAGAAGGCTGGCAGAATTTGAAAGATAAAACTTAAACTACCATCATTTCGAAGTCAAAGTCTGGGTGCAGAGAATATTCAAAACAATCTACAAAGAAATCATTCTAATTAGCAAGGGAAATAACAAATCATGAGATTTAATGTTAGTATACAGGTATACTCAGATGTTCATAAAAATGAACAGTAAAACAAATGGACAACAACATTCATTGTATTGGTGTGATAGCCCGAAACGGTTACAAACCTAAACTCCAATCTACATTATAAATAAAATAAAATACAACGAAATACCATAAACTAATGAACTGACTATATCAACTGCTGTTAGATCCAAGAGCATGGCAGAATCTCACAAACATAATATGGAACAAAATAAAGTTTTTAAAAAAACACATTAGTTACCCATGACTCTACTTTTTTAAAAAAATTTTAACTTTAAAAAAAAAAAAAGCTCAGGAGGCTGGCTGGCAGAATGTGCTCTTTAGACATTTCAGTGAAAATATATACTTTGTTTTCTAAGGGAGTCCTGGTTGGTGCTTTGGGTTAATGCACTCAACTGCAAGGTCATTTTGAACCATAAGGTTGGCAGTTCAAGCTCACCAGCCATTCCTCAGAAACCTATACAGGATAACTGTAAGTCAGAACAAACTTGAAGGTACTTAAAAATAGTAATAACAAAGTACACATCAAATTTCTTGCCTCCTTAATTTATGAAACACAGATGAAAACAGGGAGCCACAGGAAGGAAATGGGATAAATGTTGTTGCAGGGAGGGGATTGTAGTCATTGCGATAAAACAACATGTATGGTTTTCTGAATGGAGAACTGAAGAGCTTATATGTAAACCTTCACCCATTCACAATAAAATGTTTTTTTTTTTTAAATTCATTAAACTTCTCACTTCCAATTTGTGCATTGATCATATTTTGAGATTTACCATACTAGAAATTATATTAACAATTGAACAAAACTATAAGATACTAGATCATGTCTTCTGTTGTTGTTAATAAGTGCCATGGAGTCAATTCTGACTCATAGCTATGCTGTATAGGGTTTCTGAGACTTTAAATCTATGTGTAAGAAGAAAGCCTCAGTTTTCTCCTGCAGAGCGCCTGATGGGTTAGAACCACCAGCCATGTGATTGAAAGTCCAGTGTTTAGCCTATGGAGCCACCACATTCCCACAATTTCTTCTAATCAACAAGAATTTCATTTTGCCTACAGTATCATCAAATTATTTAAAAATAATAATAAAGATTCATATTCACATGTCCTATGTATGAGCTCAGAGCTCTGGTGACACACTGTAGGATAAGCATTAGACTTATCACAAGGTTGACTGTTCAAACACACCAGCCACTCCTCAGAAAATGTATACAGTGTCGCTATGACATTTTTCATTCATTCAATTCCAGGAGGCTTGTCATTTGCCAATGCCCTCAGAACAACTTGGATTTCTTCCTTCAGTGTCATTGATTCTTGATCATATGCTACCTCTTGAACTGACTGAACATCAATCACTTCTTTTGATATAGTACTCTGTATATTCCTTCCACCTCCTTTTAGGTTTTTTATGTCATTCAATATTTTGCCCATAGAGTCCTTCAGTATTGCAAACTGGGGCTTGAAAGTTTTCTTCAGTTCTTCTTGAGAAATGCTGAATGTGTTCTTTCCTTTTGGTTTTCTAACTCCAGTTCTATGCACATTTTATTATAATACTTGACTTTGTCTTCTCAGCAAAGCCTTCTTTGCACTGTTAAATTTTGATTCAACTGTTTTACTTGATCACTTCTTCCTATTGCTTTAGTTTCTCTATGCATAAGAACAAGTTTTAGTGTCCCTTTTGACATCCATTTCATTTCTGACAACTTCCGGTTTTCCTAGATTTATACTACTAACATTCCAAGTCCTGATTTTCAGTGGATGTTTGCAGCTGCT